GCGCGTTTGAGCAGTCCATGCGGTCAACGAATCAACGATACATGCAGAGGCCTATATGCAGCTATCAGCTAACTTGATGCCAAAAAACCAAACCTCAAAGAAGACATTAGAAGGAGAGTAATTAGCCAGAAACCTGGAAAAAGGCGAAGTATACAACTGAGTTTCCTTTATCGTACTTCGCCAAACTCCACGCCCAGTTCTTTGTTCTAGCGCGCTAGATGGAGAAACCGCAACGCGCGCACGCTGCGCGACAACTAGGCCTGGCAGTAGTCCAAGCACCGTTGTAGCAAAACTTTAGAGATGTTCTGAACTTTTTCTGGTTCACGGTTTTAGTTAACGTTTTCATCTTCTTGACTAATGACCCTATAGAGCCGCTTTTCAGGCAGTAGATGTAATCTACTTTGCATGAAACTAAAGGTCCTTTTCAACTTGAAATTTAAGATGAAGAACGACACTACGGTGAATGCGGAACAGGAAAAGCTCTTGGAAAATGCTGTACGGGTCGTCAGAGCAGAGTCTCTGGAAATGAAGCGGTGTTTGGACAAAGTAAAATTCTCTTGTTAGTTCGCTTATTCCATTAGGTGGTGTCTGTTTTAGGGTGAGACGATGGACGCGTTGAAGCATGCTTCACAGTTTTTGAGCGAACTGAAAACCAGTGACTTGTCACCCAAATTTTACTACAGATTATGTGAGTGTTTTCACCGTTTGCTTCTTTGTTTGTATCTATAATAATGAGGAACAGAAAACGCTAGACAGAATAGCTATTAAGTTAGATAGTTTTTGCATTTTGGATCTCAAACTTAGTGATGTTTCATCTCAATATTGTCAAGGCAGTTTGTTACCAAGTTTTTTTGCTCATTTCATTCGATGTTTTTAATCAAGAAGTGGTCCCGTTTTCATTAGCAGCATGTCTCAGTCCTAGGCCTCGGGCATAGTTCACGCGATTTCATCGCCTCGCGATTCTTCAGCAAGGCAACTGTTACGAGTTCATTGCATCCGATCCTCCCGTATTCCGGTTATGTTAATTTTCCGATTAATCGTGACTAATTATCACTGCAAGGTGATCGACATAGTGGACTCGTAACAGTTGCCTTATCGGAAGAATCGCAAGGTGGCGAAATCGCGTGAAGTATGCCTGAGGCCTTACATGATAAATTTGAGCTTTTTTTCGAGAAATCAAAGAACTATGCTTTCCCAAAGTTGCCCGTTTGGACGGTCCACCGGTTTATGGAGAATATATTTCCTGTTCCAGATATGGATGCAGTCAGTGAACTTCAGCACCTCGAATCCTTTTTGGTAGATGAACACGAACGAGACAAAACTAAAATTGAAAATCTCTATGAATGTGTGCAATATGCTGGTGCAATAGTTCCAAGATTGTGAGTTACTTCCCCTCACTCTTAATCTTTATTTTAGCTGGTATTTGCAGATACTTACTCATCACAATCGGTGTAGTGTACATCAAATGTGGCGAAGATACTCGTCGCAATATCTTAAGTGACCTTGTTGAAATGTGTCGAGGTGTACAGCATCCACTACGTGGTTTGTTCCTTAGAAATTATCTTCTGCAAAGCACCAGGACGCTGCTTCCGGATAACCCTGACCTAACCATGACGGAGTGAGTCATTTGTTTGAGTCATAGAACTTCATATTCTAATTTGACGCATTCCTGGATTATAACTCAAGAATTGTAAGTGCGCAGAAGCTCCTGTTTTTTTTAACGCCTTCTCGCCGTCAAGGCTATCTCTTTTTGCCTCGAAAAAGAAAAACAGTAGTTTGCCTTCAGTGAGCGGAGTTGATGAGGATGCATGGATGTCTGTTTTATTGTGTTATTTCGTTTTTGTTTTATTCTTGTTTTTCTTTTTATCAGGCCTGCGTTATATTATTTGTAATTCTTTTAGGGTAAACGATTTGCCAGAGTCTGACAAGGAACCTCGTGAATGCGATGGAAACGTCACAGATGCAGTGCATTTTGTTTTGGTGAATTTCGCAGAGATGAACAAACTTTGGGTTCGGATGCAACATCAAGGTCCTTCCAGAGAGCGAGAGAAAAGAGAGAAGGATAGGATGGAGTTACGGTAAGTTGATGTTTATGTTTTATCACTTACCGAAAGTTTTACATCCTTGAGTAGCTTGGGTTATTGTGATGATAGATTTAGGGATTTTCAATGGAATATAGTCTAAAGGCTGTCGCACGACCAATGCGAAAGTGCGGGCGGACCGCGGCGCGCGTGCATTGTCACCGTTGTAAATATGTATGCCTGTACGCCGCTGTAAATA